GCTGTGTGCATTGCAATATTTTGAGCAAAACTGTGCTCTTACCCTGCTAATTGGACCTTCACAGTCTGCTCTTATTGGTTCAATGTGCAATTAATGAAGATTGGCCACCAGGCTGGTCCAATTTAGCCATGAAACCTCCCACACTAAAATGAGAAGTGTTTCAGTTTCATTGTCCAACCCCTTTATTTTAAAACAAGCTTTTACTATTACTAGATTCTTAAACATATTCTTAAAATTCACTTTAATTCAGCTGGGCTTCTAGCTGGTTTGGTCTTTTCTAATTCATTTTAAGTTTAGGGTAATAAGGGCTTCATCCGGTGCATCTACCATCTGCCAGCTGATGATTCAGTTCAGAGCTACAATCAAGCCCTGTTTAGTCATGATTGACTGTGACGTGTCTTTGCAGAAAGCTTGTTCAACCCCCAACCACACCTGCCCACCCGCCCGCCCGCCCAATCCATGTGTTTGACTTTATTTTGTGTCATTTCCAATCAGCACCTTTTGTATGCGCTCCAAAAATAGCAGCAAGGTCGGAAACCTTGGCTTGAGTGGACATCAGCCAACAGTAGAGAGGGTGGGTGACATGTCCGTGTCACATACAAAACATCAGAGTGAAGCATCTGTCGGGAGACACCTGCGGAGAGTGTTGAAGATGAGTTTTTCTTCGGACGGTTGTGGTAGAGCTTCCCGAATGGGTTCTCTTTTAACTACTCTCCGAGCACCTTCAGGATCATGGCTGATGCACTTTGATGTGTCTTTCCGCTGACTCACGGGAGGCTTTCTGCTTTAGTGTTCCATGTTGTTTGTAGCCGTTTTTTTGTCTTGGCTGGAAAATATTTGCACGGGCTGTGCAGAGTTGTGTGAGCTTGAGTTTAGGGTTCCATCACCGTTTTTAAACCTGCTGCCTATGTTGCTGCTTATCAAGTACATATGCGCCTGAATGTTTCCCCCACGTTTTTGTCTGTTTCTTTTACTTTTACTTTTTGTTTTAGGTGTCTCTTTAACCTTGCCTTCTGCTCTCATGCTCTGGCCTCATCAACCCCCCACCTTTGTTGATCTCCCATCAATCTATCTCTCCATCTTTCCTGTTTGAGGCTGCCTAATTGGGTCTGGCTGACTCTCCTGCTGGGCAGCAAAGGAAATGACTGAGAGAGATTTCCATGATTACATTTTTTGCTGTCTCTGTTTAAAGATACATTTAGAAACAGGCTTTTTGGTGACTTCCGTCGTTGCCTCTGTTAGAAAGGCCTGGCCGAGTCAGAGAGTCAGTCCGTCTCTCAAGTTAAGCAGATTTTCACTTTCACCTTTTTACAGGCGTTTTTAAACCTCCACCATCTGACTGCCGCTGAATCCTTTGCTGACTCTGTATGTTTTGTAGCGCTGTTTCAATGGCACTAGAAATGTTGCTCAAGACTGAAGCAAAGCAGCAAAAGTGTAAGGAAGGAACTGCACGTGTTTGCCTAACGCCAACATTTGGCGACATTCAGCTTGCTGACTGCAACTCAGATGACATCAGCTGCAGCTAGAGGAAGAGTTTCATGAGGTGTGACCTGGATGAGTTGCTCTGACCTTCCCCTGAAACAATCATTTATTCACATCTAATTTTATTAGGCTGAAAAAATTATGTAGGGCCACGTAGTTATCGGGTTGGTATGGGTGGTAATATGTGCTCCTTCAAAGGTAGTGTGATATTGAATTAATCCCGGACTGTTGACTGTCAGCTATCTGATTATTTTTAACCCTGACAGTAGCCCGGTTTTGCTGGCGGCGCACACCTCACAGAAACCCAACATTTATTTCAAAGGAAGGGCTTGTCATTGTTTGATTTCGTCCTTTGGGTTTCAGCCATCCATTATCCATACCTGCTTAATCCGTCTCAGTGTGGTGTGAGGGCTGAAGCTTATTACAGCTCTCATTGGATGGTAGGCTGGGGCAAATTTGGGTGTCGGGAGTAGAAAATGGCCAGTTTGTTGCAGCATAAGTATTTGTATTCATCACTAACTTTGGTGTTTTTCTTAGAAATGACCAACGACCCTGTTGTAGAGCCTTTTATGGACTCTTACAAGAGAAGTCTTTTCAGTGTTCAGTTCTTCTTATGACCCACTAAAAAGCCTTTGTTTGGTGGGGTGTATCACCTTCCCCACATGGTTTTCCTTTGTTGTCTTGTCATTCTGCTGTGCTCTAGACATTTTGAGGTGAAAGATTATGTCTATTGTGTAGACGCCAGCCAACGACAGCATGAGCACGTGATCGCCAGCAATGTCACACACGGATCAGACCCCTCCGACAGGGTTTAAGGCAGGAGGGACTTTTGACATGTTTGCTCGAGCTTGACATTTACACGAATGCTGTGAAACGCTGGCTGAATTATATGTTGTGCAGAGAGCAATAGTGTTAGGCTGTCTGGCTACTTGGCCTTTCCCCGACGGTCTTAGATCCGTCAAGGTTATGTTGCTTGATCATCCCACACTGACCTTCAGTCTGATTGTTCACTGTTGTTTATGTCTTTTGGATCGGATTGGCCCTGCGATGGCCCGGCAGCCTGTACAAGTTGCTCCCCTGCTTTCGCCCTGTGACAGCTGGGCTCTGTTCCGGCATCTCAGCAACCCCGACCAGAAAGGAAATGATTGAACTGTATTGCCCTGCTCTGGGGTGCAGTCTCTCTTGCTTATTTTAAAGACCACTGTACACTTGTTGAGTAGAGCGGAAACAAGCAAACGGCTGCTTGGTGTACCTTTGATACCAATTCAGAATCTTTCTCTGGACTGACAGCTCTGCTCAGTACTTGCCATCATCTGGAGCAATAGCGTAGCTGTTTGTAATCTTCCAGGGCTAAATGAACAGGAATAAATAGCCGAACATTCTCTACTGCACTTTGCTCTGATCTATTATTGAATTGTGGACTGTTTTTCATGTCATTTTACACATTCAAGACTTGTTTTTTGAATGATTTTATTTTTAGAAAAGAAAAATGGGGAGTTTGAAGGCCAAATGTAGCTAAAGTAGTGATTCAAGCTAACAATTGTGGTTTGAATCTGGTTGTATGTCACACAGTGTGTACATTTTGAAGCTAACAGGATTATATCAGGAATGGTGCGAGAATAATAGGAAATTCAAATTTCAATACCACATATCTTTTTTTAGGGAAACTGTGTAAAGTGTTAATAGCAAAGGAAAAGCTAAGTTTTGGCTTCCTGCTGATTGAAAACTGTGATTGCAGCATGACTTGTGCTTTAAGTTTTTAAAGAAGTGGAGGTTGTTATTTGGGAGTTTAACACTGAAATCCATTTGCAAATAAAAGCAACTCACCAAGTATGATTCCAAAGACTGGAGGCCCAGAAAAAGCTGCCAATGTTAAGTTCTGTTATGGAGACTTTGACTCTGGATTTCTAAAGCACTTTTTTTTTTTGTCTCCAGTTAATTCCTTTCAATGTGTTGGTGTGAGAGAGATTTGCACATTATGTGAATGTTAATTCATTAATGAGTGGAATCAACTGGCGCAGAACATTACGTGAAGCAGTGACACAGAGGGAGATGGAAAAGAAGAAGGTGGGGTGCGCTGTTGTTCTCAGAGGACAATGCCTCCTAGAGAAGACTGGCACAATAGGCCCTATTGACGGCTGCATCAGTATTTTGAGATGTTGTTCCCGTCACTGGACATTGTGCGAATCCCCAAATTGCCAGTATCACGGTGTTGCAAAGCTCTAAAAGGCACACACAGGAGCCTCCAGGCCTCTCCATACTGTTATACAAATCACTCAAAAGCACTCTGGGTCTGCAAAAAGTGCCCCCCCCCCCTTCTCTTTGTCACAGGAGTCAAATTTTTATTGACATCCTAGTGTTAAAAAGAGCATCATTTTTTTTTCAAACCACCCAGAATTCCATGGCCATCAGTAAAGAATCCCCGTCTGTGATAATTTGTCAGGACATTAATGTAGTGTTGTGAATAAGGAGGTTGTTGTTGGGCTTTTCTGACCTCTGACATTTGAGCACATTCAACTTCTTTAACCAAAAGCCTGCTTGTTTACTTTTTATAAAAACATTGAAAACATTCTAAAAACTAAATTAATCCAGCCTTTTGTATCCTCTGTAAAGAATAGAATAAACACTGATTCAGAATAGCGCTGCATTTTTTTTCTCATTGTAGTGATTCTTGTTTACATTTAGTTCCTTTCTGAGGATCAAAAATGTTCCTGCTATCTTCCTGATGGATTTGCTTTGTTTTTGCTGCATGCAAGTTCAGGGCAACCTCTTCCAAATGCAGGAGCCATATAATGAGAGGACAGAAGAATAGCCGACACCTGTTCATGAAACATTTGAGTAATTTTTCCCCCATGGTATTTAACGCAGCTATTGGAAAGAAGGATACTCTACGCCAGCTAAGGCATAAATATCTTCATCATAAACCTGAGTGTCTGCACTTTAAGCACGCCGCTGTAGTGGTAAAATAAGAAAAGGAATGCCACTCTAACTATAAATATACAGCTACTGTTTTTGTCTCTCCGCTTTGTTGGCTGCATTTGTGATATTTTCATTCTCTATGTTACATAAGAAACTTAAGAAAAAGAGTTTGTCAAGCAGCAGAGTGGATAAAGACTGACGAGATATAAAAACTTTGGCAGATTTCTGATTGCGAAGTGTCCTGAAGCCTTAGTTGTTTCACACTATGTCATCCCAAATAATTCCTTCTATAGGCACAATCCTGACTCCCTCTAAATGCATGCTGGCTCAGATGGCAAAACTCTGTATTTTCCGCCTGGTGACCTGCTGTTGTATTTAAAGGAGCATGCATGTAATGAGGATGTAACACAATCTGCTGGCACTGAGCCGGATGTACTGCCACACGTGGCCATCGTATTCAGTGTAATGTCTGTTGCATTAAAGATAACCAAGCAAAACTGAGTTTTGATTGAATGTGTGTGCTTCAGTCAGTCCACGCAGCAGCTTAACACCTAACCAGATCTGCTTTGGGTTTCCCAGGTTTGCCAGGGTTTTCCAGCATGTTTGGGAAGAAGAAGAAACGGCTGGAGATCTCAGCTCCGTCTAACTTCGAGCACCGGGTCCACACGGGCTTCGACCCGCGGGAGCAGAAGTTCACTGGGCTGCCGCAGCAGTGGCAGAGCCTGCTGGCAGACACCGCTAACCGCCCCAAGCCCATGGTGGACCCCTCATACATCACCCCCATCCAGCTGGCACCAATGAAGGTAGAGCAGCACGAATGGACTGGGAGCATCTGGCCCCATCACAGACAACAAGTCATTGACACATCCAGTCTTATTGCCCCCCACCAAGAGGTGGTGGGGGGCAATCTTGCCTCTTCCTTTCGCTCATCATGCCACTATCTCCATGTCTGTCTGTGTGATCAGGAACTCTTCTCAGCCCTCCTTCTTCCTTTTCTCCCTTTGCAATCTCGCTCTGTGTAGGTGTCTGTCTCTTCTGTGCTTTTGATTCTCACCGCTCTCCTCTCCACCTGCTCCACCTGCTCCCTCAGAGGAGAAATTGAAGCACCATCCATTCCATCTGGTCACCTCGCACAATTCAAACGTTACAGCCATGTCTGAAATGATAGTCCTGTTAGCTGCATTTCCTTGCTTTAAGACTGCATTAAGCAATTTTGTGGCAATTTACAACTAATACCTCCCTTGTGCCAACCTGGCTCAGGGTTAACTTTCAACAGAGGAAACAGTGACTCTGCTCAGAGTCGTTTTCCCCAGCATTCAATTTGTGCTCCTGTTCTTACAGTTGAGCAAGTTACTGGAGAAAAAAACAAACTCGAAACAGGCCAACAAAGACGTCATTTATTTTTAGAAGCAACAGCTCAGACTCTTTTTACATTAAAACGTGACAGTGCTGTCTGCTGTCATGTTAAGGAAATAGCAGTGAAATCATACCTCTGGACATACCTGCTATCTTTTTATGTGTTCGCTGAGGTGATTGACCCCTCAATAAAGGCGTGAAGACGGCTGCAAATGAACTCCTAATGCTTGTTACAGTCTGCTGCACCATCACCAGTCCAAATTTGTTTAATGTGGTTTTAAAGTGGTTTTCTGAATGACTCTTATGTTTCACTGAATTGTTGCAGTTAGCAGACACCAAACCACCAGCTGATGTTTCCTCCTCTCCCCCCCCCCCCCCCCGCCCAGTGAATTTGTGTCTCCTCTTCTCTCTGAGTGTCTCCTCTGATGTGTTGTTGTTTATTGGTGGTTCTTATCGCTTTGACACATTCGATCCGCTGATAACAATCAGCAGCTAATTACATCCAAATTTGGAACCTGACCTTTTCGTTCACCTCTCTCTGGGTTGTAGCAGAACGTCCAATAATTCTGTACACTGATGGCTTAAACATACATACTGGAGGATGTAATGACTCTACTAGTTGTCCACAGGCTCACAGCTTAAAGGGCGTCATTCATTCTCTTCAGTGTACTGTCTGTGGTCCCATCGCTCTGTGCCTTCTAGCTTTGTAATGTAGGACAGTTTGCCATGCTCGTGTTGCAGCACAACACCTGCTTGCACCACTTCTGTTTTTAACCTTGGTAACAGATTAAGAAGGGCTTCTCTGGAAGCTTTCAACTTTCAAATAACCTTTTGCAAATGAAAGCTTATAAAGAAAAAAAAAAGAAAAAACAGAGAAGCAGCTAAAAGGGAAAAGCCCCCCGAAAAAGTCAAAGTTGTACAGCAGAGAACAGCAATATGCCACAGGAGATATCTCTGAAGAGGGGGAAACAAGAAAATTAATTCTCTTGCTCTCTTCACAGATATCTCCCAAGAAGGTCCGGTCATCTGAATCGCCGTTGCCCAAAGTATGACTTCCTCTTCCCTTCCGTTTTCAATACCCCCCTCCCCCTATTGTTATTTTTTTCTCTTTGTAATTTTTGTAATGGCCCACTTTCACACAGTCACCACTCAGCTGTCCTGGTTCCACATCTCTCCTCTGCGGCCTGCTGCCATGCGCTCACATGGAGGTGGCTTGTCAGCAGGAACAGGAAGAGACGCAGAGAATGACTCCGCACATAACATACCATAACGGCATCATCCTTTCAAGTCTTTTTCTTAGACCTCATCTCCACTCTTCCTCTGTTTGCATGAGCCTCTATTAAACAAATGAGAAAAAAAAGAAAAAAAGGCAAGACTAACCGCAGTGGCATGTTCCCCTTGTGTCTCCTCTTGCTACAGAGCACTATTGACGACGACGATGATGATGATGATAATGAAGATAATGATGATGATGAATGCTAAAATGGGATATGCATGTTGCTATGGCAGCTGATTATGCTCTGCTGGGGGCCTCTGCTCTGTAGAAAATAGGTCTTAAAGGGTTTGCATGTGTTAGGAAAGCCCTTTGTTTAACGTCTTCATCTGTCCAGAACTAGCTGTGACGGGGAGCAACCTCCCTCTTCTCACCTCCCCGACCCAAAGCTTCTGTTCCATGAAATGAAAATATTATACATATAAATTCGCATCAATAGTGAGTAAAGCGTGTGGTCAAGGTGAAGTCTAAGAGACCGCGAAATATTGATAGAAAGGCTAATTAAAAAAGTTTGACTCCCAAATGCCCTTAAGAAACTTGTTTTTTTTACTTCTCCTGTGAAAGATTCAGTTTTAAAACATTGTCAGCTGACATCTAAAAAAATCCTGATGCATCTTTTTAGCCATGCTGTGGAGACTGTGTTCTTTAAAGGAACTTTTTCCGCTAAATATGGAGAAGTTGCAGAACAACTGTTAAAGACGGTAATGGATAGAAGGGAGAACAGAATTGATGAAGTAGCTGGTCTGAGCAGTCTGTAAAGAAGGTAAACGGAATGAAAAGTAAATACCTTCGACTGCACAACTCAAAATCATCGAAAGGCTATCTTTAGGGGTCTAAGCTAAAATTTTTATCCAACCTAAGTTTTCCCGAAAGACCTCAAAAAGCGAATGATTTATTGCTGGTCTCTGCTTCTGCTTTTGTCCAGAGACAGAAGCTGCTAATCGAACATTGAAAGTAGTTTCATGTTACACAGAAGTCAGGGTCACTTCATCCGTTTAAAATCCAACTCGCAATGTGCATGCACAGTCCTCAAACTAGCCGCCTCTGCGTTTGGATGCAATATATCTCACGAATTTAATTAATTTGAAAACCATACAACTCTTTGATTGTGGTAGGTGTGCTATTTTCTAAGTTGCGGCCGTTTTAAGTTTCAGGTGAACTTGCCAGGAAGTGGGTGTCATTACCGCTCAGAGCCGTGCGTTTGCTACCCTGATCACCAAGATGGGCCGGGTTATTTATAGCCTCTCACCATGGCCTGATACCCTGCTCCCCCGGTTGCCCTGACACTTGATTGACATAAGGCTTCATCTGCTTGGCAGACTCCCCCAGCTCTGTCTGCTAAGCGTGCACGGGGGCGTGCATGTGTGTGCGTGCTGTTGCACTCACCAGGTGGGCATAAGTAAAGCAGACCCCCAGAGCAGTCCCCGACGAATGCGGGGGACAGAGCACAGAGGAAGGTTGACATGGATGAAACGCGCTAGAACATGCACACATATTTCCGGTTAGAGCGGTCGGCATGGTCTGAAACAACCACCACCCCTGCCCCGCTGGGCTGCACACCCATCGTTTATCCAGAAGGCCTTTGCACTCTTTGTCAGGCTGCTCCTCTGAGCTGAGTGTTAAAATCGCTCAAAGCTTTGGCCTTCTTCTCTAACCCCCGCCTGCCCTTTAGCACATATGTTAATCCAGGGTCTGGGAAAACCATGCTAAGACCTTAAGACCCCGAAGGTGTTTCCTGGATTTTTTGCATCAGGAGGCAGCGCAGTAGCTATTATTAATGTCAGGCTCCTGTTGCACCTTGACTTTGAACCCCTTAAAACTGCAGACTCCTGCAGAGCTGAAAGGGGGGGGGTTAATTTACTGTGATGAAGTCTGGCGTGCTTGTAGATTAATGTGTTTGTGCGTGCTAGAGTAGGTATTTATGGCCATTGGCTTGTTGATACTATCTGCTTGTTTCTGGAGGCTCATGTTTCCAGAGCCTTGGGCCAGTGTAGGACCTCCTGATTCATGAGAATTGTGAGAAACACCTGTAAAAGTCACTTTAGTGTGAGTGCAGCCAACTGAAACATCAATGAATTAATCTGAATAAATGAAGGCTATTTTTAGAATATTTTCTCCTTCTGGCTCGCAATCAACCAATGACATAGATCACATTTTTTAGGGGCTTCTGTTTTTATTTTTGCCTTTGCCGTGTTAGCAATGAAAAAGACTCATCTTTAACTTTAGATGTGCAGCACATGAATGAATGAGAGGCTTTTCTAGGCGGTTGAGCTGCATTTTTGGGATGACCCCATTTTGCAGCAGCACATTGCTGAGCTTCCATGGCTGTCCTCTTGCCTCTGTTTCCATACAGGGGAAAAGCAGCTAGAGGTAGTATACTTACACAGGACTAGCACCACCTATAATCCTCCTTCAAATCTACCGAATTTTTATTTACACCTTTACACAACACTGGCTTTATCTGGTGAAGGCGGACCGGATGGCGTTGCCAACTCTGAGAGAAACACAGTAATAATTTGTGACACAAGACAAAAGAGCAAAGCTGCAGAACATGGTACTGGTGCAGCCTGGTGTCTTACTGATTTAAAAACGGTTCCATTTCACTGAAGACAGATTTTTTGGGGGCATGCTGTTTATGTTATTGTTTAATCTTCTTTTTTATACCAGGGTTACAACTACTTTTAAGTGCAGATGTTGAAATCAAAGTTTAAGTGTTCACCCATCATGTTTTCCATTTATGGATCATGTTGATCCAATTTTTTGGGGGCAAAAATTAATCAGAAGAAGGCAATGATGAATGGAGACACTGGGAGATACAGAGGCAGCGGCTCTGAGTGGTTTTAAAAAGGTTGCACAATAGCAAACCGCCTGTTTTTTATTATTTTATCATTATTTCACACTCAGGTTGAGATTGTGATGTTTTCTATCCTGTTTTTAAGGCCATGTTAGTTACAATTGAGCAGATGCTGTTTTTCCAAAAGTGGCTGCTGACACCTTCCCGATATCCAGGCATCTTGCATTTCAGCTGTAGGTCTAAATGCAGTGTAGGTAGTGTAGGTGGAGAGGTGGGGATATTTTAGGGAGCTGTACAGCTCTCTGCTGTAAAACCCTTTATAGCTGCACTGAAAATATCTTGACTCAACATCACAATGGGAGTGTGCACCAGAATGCATG